TGCAAGGTAGGGGTTGGGAAGGCCTTTATTACTGATTTATTACTGATTCAATTTTTGTCTTGGTAATGGATCTGTTTAGGTTTTCTATGTCTTTATGGCTCAATTTATGTAGGTTGTATGTGTCCAGGAATCTATCCATTTCTTCTAGGTTTCCCAGTTTGTTGGCATACAGCTTTTTGTAGTAATTTCTGATGATTCTTTTTATTTCTGTGGTGTGTATTGTTACATTTCCTTTTTCTTCTCTAATTTTATTGATTTGGATATTCTCTCTCCTTTTTTTTTTGGTTTATTGGACCAATGGTGTGTCAATTTTTTTTTTCAAAAAAACAGTTCTTTGTTTTTCTGATCTTTGTATTTTTTTTGGTTTCAATTTTGTTGATTTCTTCTCTAATTTTAATTATTTGTTTTCTCCTACTAGTTTTAGGTTTGGTTTGCTGTTGTTTTTCTAGATCCTTGAGATGCATTGATAGTTCATTTATTTGGTGCCTTTCCAATTTTTGATGTAGGCATCAATTGCTATAAACTTTCCTCTTCACACTGCTTTTGCTATATCCCATAAGTTTTGATATGTTGTATTGTCATCTTAATTTTTTCCAGAAATTTTTTGATTTCTCTTTTGGTTTCTTTTAAGTATGCAGGTGCCCTGTAATTAGGTGCATATGCATTTATAATAGTCACATCTTCCTGTTGAATTGATCCTTTAATCATTACATAGTGTCCTGCTTTGTCTCTTTTAATAGTTTTTATGTTAAAGTCTATTTTGTCTGATATTAGGATGGCTACACCAGCTCTTTTTTGGTTTCTGTTAGCATAGTTTATTTTATTCTATCCTTTCATTTTCATTCTGTATGCATCTTTTTGTTAAGATGTGTTTCTTGGAGTCAGCAAATAGATGGGTTTTCTTTTTAAATTTATTCCGCCAGTCTGTCTCTTTTAACTGGGGAGTTGAGACCATTTACATTTAGGGTGACTATTGTTAAGTACCCACTTTGCCATGACATATTCCCATTAATAGTTCCAATGTTTTACTTTGGGTTTCCTTTGTACTTTTACTGGATCATTTTCTGCATTCATCTTCTTTTGTAGTGATGTTCCTGTTTCTGTGTTTCTCTGTGTAGCACATCCTTGAGTATCTTTTGTAGGATTGGGTGGGTAGTTATAAATTCTTTCAATTTCTGTTTGTTGTGGAAGATATTTATTTTTCCTTCATTCATAAATGAGAGCTTTGCAGGGTACAGTATTCTGGGTTGACAGTTTTTTTCCCTTAAGACTTGGAATATATCTTGATATTCTCTTCTTGCCTGTAGGGTTTCTGATGTGATGTCTGCAGTGAGTTTAATTGTGGTTCCTCTGAATGTGTTTTGGTGTTTCTCTCATGCACATTTTAAGATCTTTTCTTTATGTTTTGTTGTGGAGAGTTTTACTACAGTGTGTCCTGGTGAAGATATTTTCTGGTCATGTCTATTCAGAGTTCTGTGTACTTCCTATACTTGGATGTCTCTTTCTTTCTCCAGATTGTGGAAGTTTTCTGTAATTATTTAATTAAGAAGACCTTCTAATCCTTTCTTTCTTTCCACACCTTCCAGAACTTCTAGGATCCATATGTTGTGTCATTTGATAGTATCTTGTAAATCTCCAACAGTGTTTTTTAGTTTTATAATTTTTTCTTCTTTTGATCTGACTGTAATATTTCCAGAAATTTGCCTTCTTGTTCTGATATTCTCTCTTCTTTCTCACCTATTCTGTTGTTAAGGCTTTCTACTGCATTTTTTATTTGATCTATTAAATTCTTCATTTCTAATACTTGATTCTGACTTCTCTTTACTATCTCAGTTTCTTGGGAGAACTTTTCATTTAGATTGTGAATTTGTTTCTGATTGCTTCTAAGTAATCTGACAATTAATTTTCTGAATTAGAGTTCTGGCATATCCTCAATCTCTTCATCTTCACCTTCTATTATTGAAGTATTGTAGTGTTCCTTTGGGAGGCTCATAGTGTCTTACTTGTTCTTATTTAGGATTTTTCCTTTGTTTTTAGGCATTTGTATATTTTTTTTCTTTTTTTGTCTGGTTGCTTTTCTTTTTAATTGTGTCTTTATGATTTAATGGAACGTCTGTACTTTCAGTGAGTTCCAAGAGGTGTGTGCTGGATGTGGCCTGGGTGCTCTGTTCAGTATTCCATGGTGGAGCAGGTATCCAGTGTAAGACCCTGTGGGGCTTTGTAGTTTTCCTCTGGTTTTTTGGTTAGAGGAGGTTGTGCACTTCTGTTGGTGTGACCCATCCTTTCCCTCACAGATGTGGGATGCCCCAGAGTTAGTCTCAGGTGTGTTCAGGGTTATATTGTCCTGCTTAATGAACTGTACCTCTAATCTGTGGAGATTTTCTTGTGGTGAGGTTTCCCCCTGTATGAGCTGCTATGGGTCTGTGCATTGCAAGTGGAATCATGGAGCCCCCACCTACTGGAGCCCTCACTCACTTCTCAATTGTGGTGGAAGTGGATACAAGCTCTGGTACATGGAACCCCGCCCATTGGAGCCTGGCTCACTTCTCAGTGGTGGATGGAGCAGGCTCGAGTTTTCAATATTCATTACTTTTCCTTGTACAGCTTGTGTGATGGGGAAGAAATTCTTCTGAAATGATGTGGTCCATGTTCCTGGGTGAGGGGTGTGGTGGAGTGGCCCCTACTATTGATGTTTGTGTGTGCAGGAGGCATAGGCATCAGTCCCCTTCTTATGTTTGAAAATGTGAACAAAGTGGCTTCTCTCAGCTGGCTGCAGAGCTGGGTGGGGAGAAGAGGGAAGGGGTAGGGAGATGGGCAGGGGGTTGCCCAACCATTCTGTTCATTCCTCTATACCTTCTTTTTTTCCCCATATGGGACTTAAAATGCAATTTGCCAAGCTCTCCCTCCTATTGCTATTTGCAGTTCCATGGACCCATGATTTCCCATCTCACCTGGTCTACTGTCCACTGGGGGCTTGCACTGACCTCCCTGGTCCAATCCTCTGTGTATTTTCTCCTCTTTTTAACTATCTATTTTTGCCAGTGTGACTCAGATCATCCTGTTGCTATAACACCATCTTGGGATCCTTCAAGATACCTTTTTTTTAAAAAAAAAAAAAAGATTTTATTTAATTAATGCAAACTTCATAGGTACAACTATAGGAATATAATGGTAAAGATAGCTTTTGGTAAAGTATTAATGACAGTGATTCAATTGTGGTATAGGCATATGGTGGATCATGTATCATTAAATATAATAGTTGCAAGGAAATTTTAGATGTGAGAAAAATACAGTTGAAAGTAGAACACTATATGATATGTAAAGTATATGCACAAAAAAAAAAGATTGAAAGGAAATAGGCCAGAGTATAATAAACTCCTACCTTTAGTATCTCTTATATAGATGTTTCAATATTTCAGCTTTCTTGTAGTTAACAGGTTATCCTTTTATAAAGGGAAATAAATCCTATAAGTTAAGCAAAAGTCACATTGCTATTGGTTAATAGGGCAGAGAAACTATATGGAAGACCCTGGCCATTTAATTCAATCATTGCTGGAGAAGAGGCAGCTCTTTTCTTTTAGGATGCAAAATTTGGGAGGAAAATGAAGACAGCCTGCCTCCCACACTGCACAGAGTCCCTGGTCTAGAGAATTTCTCATGTAACTGGGAGGCTACGGAATTCTGTTGCCTTATGCTTGAGACCCTCACACAGTCACCTGAGCTGAGCTGTGGTGTCTTCACAGGGCTGTGACATGCTCATCACCGGTTGAGATTTGAGAATAAAGCCTGAAAGGGAGTTTTTCTTCCTTTTGTGACCTAAATCCCCAGTGGTGGTCTTCCCATCAGTAGCTATAAGTGACTGATAAGTAGCAGGCGTGTCTGATGGTCACATACCATTCATAGTGGCTTAAACAAGTACAATCTGGGAATCAGGAAACCGAAGTCATTTTGTGTTATAAAATAAAGATAGATTAAGTAAACCACAAATAAGAGAAGACTCCTAACTACCAAAACAGACTTTCTGCCAAACTGAGATGTTATAACTATTTAACTTTAGTTTTTTCTTTCTATTCTTAGTGTTTAAATAATTTTTTTTCTTAAAAAGTTATATAGCAACATCTTGATTCACTTAGCCTGTTTATTTCTTGGTTTGCAAGATGGTCACTGTCACTTCAATTGGCCTTGATTTCAAGAGTTCCTCTCTTCCATCCCCCTCAACATCCTGAAACGTGCACTTTCTTGAGCCAGCTCTTACAATGGAGGTGCATGAGACAGCTGGACTGCATCCACTGTTCCAACCAGTCCCACCCTTGGGACTGAGTGATCAACGTGATTCAGCAACCTAATATTTCACGATTGACATACATTTTGGGCTACAAGTAATGCATCTTAAATATGGTGGTGGCAAACATGTGTTATTAATTGGCTGTGTACTATCTCTAACCAGTTGGTAGACCTGGCCTAGAACCCTTTGTTGAGAAGGATTCTTTGGTCCAGTCTGGGGTCAGCTGTGACATGTACTGGTGACTGTCACTGATGCTGGCATAGGGAAGAACAGCATTCCTGCCAAGGACTTTCCATCTCAGATTTAAGGGATAACAAGGCCCCTATCTTTAGAGAGCTTCAATTCAAATGAGGAAAACATGACTCATTGTAGGAACAAGAAAGGGAGACAACAGTTAAAAGAGAAATCAAATACAACTGTGAGTACCCAAAAGGTAAATACCCTGAATACAGTTGTCTGCGAGGAAGGTCAAGCTATTTGCTAAGTGCTGGGAGAAGACAGAATGCCATAGCCCTAGCTCAGATGGGGTTAATCTAGAGAGGTTTTCTGAAGCAGTACCTTTTGAATTGGGTTGGAAGGCGGCTAGGAGATCTGGCGTGAAGTTGGAAGGGTGGTGCAAGTCAAGGGGAAGGCAGGGTTCCGGTGCTTTTTGACTGTGTTCCCCAAAGTCTCAGCTGCCTGCAAGGACTGTGCCTGATCTCTGACCTCCCCACAGTGAGGACGTGTGCAAACGTGGCTTCACCGTCATCATCGACATGCGGGGCTCCAAGTGGGACCTCATCAAGCCCCTGCTCAAAACGCTGCAGGAAGCCTTTCCCGCCGAGATCCATGTGGCCCTCATCATCAAACCCGACAACTTCTGGCAGAAGCAGAAGACTAACTTCGGCAGCTCCAAATTCATCTTTGAGGTGAGCCAGACTTCTCTGTTAACACCTGCTTTCCCTTCACCTCTGCCACTCACACATTTCTCATTTCCTCTTCATCTATCTGCATTACAATATGCAACATGTCAAGGGCTGAAATTTTAGAATTCCTTGGCCACCATGACCTTATCAGTTAGAGCCTGGGAAGAATGAGAAGCTCGAGAGATGATTCCTGGGGCCAGCGCTGTGGCTTAGTGGTTTAAGCTGCTGCCTGTAGTGCTGTCATCCAATATGGGTGCCTGTTCGAGTCCCAGCTGTTCCACTTCCCATCTCTGCTAATGTGCCTGGGATGGCAGCAGAGAATGGTCCAAGAACTTGAACTCCTGTACCAACACAGGAGACCTGGGTGAAGCTCCTGGCTTCAGCCCAGCCCCAACCATTGTGGCCATTTGCAGAGTGAACCAGCAGGTGGAAGATCTCTCTCTCTCTCTCTCTCTCTGCCTGCCTCTTTCACTGTAACTCTGCCTTTCAAATAAATAAATCTTTAAAAAAAAGAGATGATTCCAAATGTACAGCGTCATCAGACAATCCTACACTGTTGGAGCAGTGTAAGTTCAGGGAGCAACTTTACAGTTAGTATCAAAAGCCTTAAAAAGAGTTTGCGTCCACTGATCTAAAATTTCATGTCCTAGGTAAATATTAATACAAGTGCTGAACCAAAAGAAGGCAAAAAGTAACTTAAAATTATAAACACAATGACAAGGATGTTCATCACAATGTCTTTTATGATAGCACATATCACATATGAGTGTACTTCAAAAATTAACAGAAAATGTAATTAAAAGATGAGCTTATTTTGGTGCAAAAATATTGAAATCTCATGCATTTTTTAAATAATACACATTTTCCATGAACTTTTTGAAGACTGCTCCTATGTACATACATATATATATGTGTGTGTATGTGTATGTATATGTGTGTGAGTATAAATATAGATATAGATATATGTTGTATCCTAGTTACCCATTCATTTTGGGTACATTAATATAAAAGGAGTCATTAAAAGGAGTCATTAAAAATTGCATTAGCAAAAGAGTATCTTCCAAAAATGTTCGTGATGGTACGGTGGTTAAGTCATGGCTTTGGATGCCTATATCACATATTAGAGTACCTAGTTCAAGTCCCAGCTGTAATTCCAACCCAGCTTCCTAGTAGATAATAGCTCAAGTACTTGAGTCCCTGCCAGCCACATGGGAGCCCTGGATTGAATTCTAGGGACCCAGCCTCAGCTGTTGTGGGCATCTCGGGAGTGACCCAGTGGATGGGAAATCTCTCTCTCTCTTTGTCTCTCTGTTGCTCTGCCTTCCAAATAAGCATAAACAAATAAATGATTTTTTTAAATGTTAATGTATTATTTACAGAAAGGCAGGTTATAAAACAAAATAAGAAGTGTAATCTTGAATTTTCAAATTTTTTTGTTTTCATTTTATTTGAAAGTCAACAATACAGAGGGTAAGATAGAGACATACAGAGATCTTCCATCTACTGGATGCAACAGGAAGTCTAGGCTAGGCTGAAGCTAAGAGTTCAGAACTCAATCTGGGTCTCACATGTGGGTGGCCAAAATCCAAGCCATCGCCTGCTGCCTCCCAGGGTATACATTAGCAGGAAGCTGGATTGGAAGCAGAGCTGGGACTCAAACAAGGCACTCCAGTATGGGATGTAGTTGTCCCAAGCATTATCTTAACTGCTGTACCAAATTCCTGGCCCTGGAATTTGCTTTTAAGCACTGAGAAACACAAGAAAATACTAGAAATGGTTTACTCTAAGTGGTTGGATTATGAGTGATTTTTATTTTCTTTGTATTTCTATTTTCTTTCAAGAATGATATATTACTTTTATAATCAGGAAAAACATGTTGTTTTTAAACTGAATTCCAGAGGGCAAACGAGTCCCTGGAGAAGCTTTAAGACAACACATCAGCTTTTATCAATGACTTAAACATATTTTCTAGCCAAATTTGAGCTGTTTGCTTTCTCAGAATTCTGGCCCTCATCTGCAGGGGGATGAAGTGGGGGTGGGGTGCCGGGAATGGGAGGCAGAGAAGGAGTACTTAAAAGCAGTGCTGCTTCCCATTGCAGACTTGTGTTTCCCAGAGGCCAGCAGCACCTGTGTGTGGGGTGATGGTCCTGGGAGGCTGGGATCTGAGTACAGTGACCTGACCCCTGACGGGGCAGTTCTCACTGTATGTAAATAACACAAGAAATAAGGCTTGGTAGAAAAACTCTCGCAGTCTCCTAGCACCCCTGTGGAACACTGGGAACCCTGTATGGAAATGCTGTCTGTAGTTTTGGTTTCTTTGTGCAGAGGTGGTGACAGGGGGTTATGCATTTGTAACCTGAAGAGACTGCAAAGAGTATTTCCAATAAGTCTTGAGACATCTGCTTCAGTGTAGCTGCCCTGCACATCCCATCGGCCTGTACCTGCCCTCACTCCAGGTTCAGCAAACTTGTCTCTGCCTCCTGAACCTCTTGTTCAGGATGAGAGCTGGGGGCTCCTACTCAGGAGAATATCTTACCAACAGCAAGCTTAATACCACTACAGACTGAGGCAATCGTGAGGCTGGGAGGAGGATGCAGGCTTGTTCAGCAACACATACTTAATGAATAATTGGTGAGTCTAATCAAAGAAGACTTCCTAGAAGTGGTAAATTTGGAGCCAGATTTGAGGGGATTAGTACTCAAGTACTTCACAAAGTTTATTGCATATGAGTTGCCTAGGAATCCTGTAAGTGCAGATTCTTTTTTATTTTATAAAAATTTATTTTATTTATTTGAAAGGTAGAGTTAGAGAGAGAGAGAGACAGAGACAGAGATCTTCCATCAACTGGCTCATTCCCCATATGCCCACCACGGCCAGCGTGTCAAGCCAGGCCAAAGCCAAGAACCAGGAGCTGCTTCTTGGTCTCCCACGTGGTTGCAGTGGCCCAAGCACTTTCCCAGGCATATCAGCAGGGCACTGGATCAGAAGTGGAACAGCTGGGACTGTTACTGATTTGCTTATTAATAATCTGAAATATTAATAAACCATGTGGGGTTTTGTCACATATTCAGAAAAGAATTCTGAATACTGGTACAAATAAACCAGGCAACATGATAAGTTTTAAGCTTTTTATTTAGTGAGACAAATGCATAGGAGAGTGAGGGCATTAATCTAATCTAAGGGAGAAAGGAAAGTCTGGAAATTAACTTGGAATCCATACCAAGCAGAAAGCAATCCAAAAGCCATGTGCAGCAAGTGTTTGATTTTGAGCAGCTATTAACAGTTTATCATGAGCAGCGAAGCAAAGGCAGAGAGCGTGGGCAGCCCAAAGGCGTGGACCAACCAGGGTCCATAATGGTGAAAAAGGGTGAAAAGGGCTGGGCTCACCATGTTTCAGGCCTTTAATCCACTTCCAAAGGGGAGTGATTAATTAGTCTTATTGGCAGGTGGACGCACAGGTGTGGCCAGGTAGGGGCATGAGATCACAGGGGCCGTGGTGAAAACGGGTCTTCCAGCTCACAAATCTAATCAGTTTTATCCTATATGCCTGCCTACATCAGAAACAGTACCCATATGGAAGATGGTGCTGCAGACAACAGCTTAACTTGCTGCTCCACAATGTGGGCCCCTGTAAGTGCAGATCTGACTCATGTAGGGCTAGAGTGGGGCATCAGTTCTGCTCCTGGTGAAGCCAGTGCTGCTGGCCCAAGTGGCAAGGATCGAGAGTGCAGGACTTTGTAGCTGCACATTAGAATTTCCTGGAGAGCTTTTAAACCAGCCCAGGCCCAAGCTCTAGTTCAGGCCAATTAAAGCAGAATTTTTAGGGATGAGTTTTTGTTTGTAAACTCCCCAGGGGGTTCTAAGGAGCAGTCAAGTTTGAGAAAGTTTGAGAACCACTTCTCTTCCCATGCCAGCTCCTTCTTGCATCTTGGGGCAGGGGTGGGGGTGGGGGTGGTACAAGAAAGAAGGAAAAGAGGAGATGATCAAAAAGTAGCAAGACAGACAAACTGATTTTAAGGGTTCAAGTAATGATGCAGCTTTCAGATCATTATGGTGAGCTGTGCTAGGGACTGAACATACACTCAGTGCTAGCACCCTATGTGCTTTAATATGCACTGACACACTTAATCCCAGCAAGCACTAGGAGAACAGTACTATGATCTCTGTCATATAGAGGAGGATATTGAAATTCTAAGACCTTAGACAGGTTACATAATTAGTAAGTAGGGCTGAGACCCAAATCAGATATATCTTGGATAGCCTCTCCTTTAGGAGACAGTGGAGAAGCCTAAGTCCCATGGAAAGGAAAAGCTGCTTGTTGAGATACTGGCAGGGTCGTGGGCATCACCAGTTGCCAGGCATAGTCTGCTTCCTTAAGTCAACCCTTCTCACTCAACTCTGCCTCCAGGAGATTGTAAAGGCCTCACTGAGAAAATAGAAAGCCCGGATTACCTATTGCCTGGTTCTGGTTCAGTTCTCTGTATCACGCAAGAGCATCTGCCACCAGGGAGAGCCTCAGAGCTGGGCTGGAGCTGGCTCAGCTTGAGGCAAGCAGACAGACTAAGAAATCCTAGCTGCCCAAGTATCGACCTACAGTGCCTAATGCAGCCATGGTACTTGGGCCCGTGGGCCTGGGTTTTACAGCTATGGAAAACTGGCCTTCCAGGCACTAGGTCAGTTTTCCTCCCAGCTTCTGCTTCTGGCATCTAGAGCCCTGTTGTGGTGGACCTGGGTTAGGGAAGAGGGAAGGTCAGGGATCAGGGACACAAACGCAGTCTTTCCTTCACTTTGATTTTAGTCAAAAGGCCGAGAAGTGATAAAAGCCGTCTTTCCTTAGATGGTAAGTGGTAGGCAGGTGGAGACGCTTGTTGAAGCAGTCTGCATTCTCTTAAAGCTGCTGAGCCTGGCTGATTGGTGACTCCTGGCTCATGAGGCCCGTGGTCTCCCACTCACCCTTTCCTAGGCAGGCTGAGTTCATTATCATGTGGACTTGTCCCGTCGCTTGCCTTCCCTGCCTCCTGGCCTCCTTCCTGTTTCTGCCCTCCTCCCCCCGCCCCTTTCACTAACTCCCTCTCTCTGTCTGCCCTTTCCAGACGAGCATGGTGTCCGTGGAGGGCCTCACCAAGCTGGTGGACCCTTCCCAGTTGACAGAGGAGTTTGATGGCTCCCTGGACTACAACCATGAGGAGTGGATTGAGCTGCGGCTCTCCCTGGAGGAGTTCTTCAACAGTGCCGTGCACCTGCTCTCGCGCCTTGAGGACCTGCAGGAGATGCTGGCCCGGAAGGAGTTCCCCGTGGATGTGGAGGGCTCTCGGCGGCTCATCGACGAGCACACACAGCTCAAGAAAAAGGTGCTCAAGGCCCCTGTGGAGGAGCTGGACCGGGAGGGGCAGAGGCTACTGCAGTGCATTCGCTGCAGTGATGGCTTCTCAGGGCGCAACTGCATCCCAGGCAGCGCTGACTTCCAGAGCCTGGTGCCCAAGATCACCAGCCTCCTGGACAAGCTGCACTCCACCCGGCAGCACCTGCACCAGATGTGGCATGTGCGCAAGCTCAAGCTGGACCAGTGCTTCCAGCTGCGGCTCTTCGAGCAGGATGCTGAGAAGGTAGGAAGACAGCAGGCCAAACCTGAGCTGGGGTGACCTGGGGGGCATGGCTTTATAAGCAAACTGATAGAGGTTGCTAATGCAACTTTCTGAATAGTGCTCATAGTACTTTCTTTGGAAAAAAGTTTCTTATGTGCCCACTAGTTTTAACTAGTACAATTTTATTTCATTCTTACATTTGGCTGATTACTGTTTTTAAATCTTATTCTTATGTAATTACATTCTTATATATTCTTATGTATTTGTTATTTGTTAGGCATTGTTTTAAGCATTGAGTGTAAATTAGCTCATTTGAATCTTCTTACAAATCCTAAGAGGTAATTGAACTCGTTAGCCCATTTTACAGGTGAAGAAACTGACAAGTTCAATAACTTGGCAAGCTAGTAAGTGCGACCTTGCCCTAGAGTCCATGCTTGACACCAGTCTTGGGCATTGTGCGTTTAAGTGCCTGCAATGAGTAGCTCAAGCCAGCTAACAACAAATGCCATTAGCAGCCACTAGCACATTAATGATTGATTATTGCCCTGCAATACACATTACTGTTGACAAAGTATTTTCACATGTAGAGTCTTACTTAGCTTCCTTCTACCCTTAAAAGGTGGGGGTGTCTCTCTTGACATGCAGGGAAACTGACGCTCCTGCTCTTGGATCTACAATAGCAGGGCTCACATCTGAGTCCCATTTTTCTAAGTCTGGACTTTTTTTTTTTTTTTTTTTGCTGCACCTTTTTTCCTGGAGGTTTCTCCTCAGCTGCTGGGTACTTTCTTGAGTAAAGCACCATTTTTCCGATGGTGAATTTTCAAAGCTTTCACCTTATCAGGGAAAAGTGAGAATGATAAAGTGAAAAATTAAAACCCCTGATATGTGGTGTCTCTTTGTTGACACAAAAGTATCTTCTTTGGATTCTTTTCAAGCTGAAGAGGAGCAAGAATAGAGTTTGCTATTATATGCACTTTAAGAAAAGTAAAGCGGATTCTCCTATCAGTTTTCTGAATATGATTTGCATATTTAAATACAAATGCTATCCCTGAGAATGCCATGACATCTCCCAGTAAATGTACATTTTACAAGCAGTGTCTGATACAATGATTCTGTGCTGTTTAAGAGCCCATGCTGAAGACATAGCTAGGCTTTAAGTGATGAAGTTGAGATTAAAAACTCTCAGATCTGACACTGTGGCACTGTGGGTTAAACCACTACCTGCAGTGCCGGCATCCCACATGGGCACCAGTTCAAGAGCTGACTGCCCCACTTCTGCTGCAACTCTGTGCTAATGTACCTGGGAAAGCAGCAAAAGATGGTCTAAGTACTTTGGCCCCTGCACCCATGTGGGAAACCCAGAAGAAGCTCCTGGCTCCTGGCTTTGGCCTGGCTCAGCCCAGGCCGTTGTGGCCATCTAGGCAGTGAACCAGATGATGGATGATATCTCTCTCTCTCTCTCTCTCTCTCTCTCTCTCTCTCTCTCCCTCCTCTCTCTCTCTCTCCTCTCTCTCTCAGCTCTGCCTTTCAAATAAATGTCTTTTTTAAAAAGAATTTATTTAAAAACAGTAAAATCTCTCTTTAATTATGATCTCAGTTTATGTATAACTGGAAGAAAATTACCTCAGTGCTAATACTTTTTATTTCGTTTTAAGGTTTTATTTATTATTTTGAGAGGCAGAGCTATAGAGCAGGAGAGACAAAGAGAAATGCCTTCCATCTGCTGGTTCACTACCCATTGGCCACAATGGCCATTGCTGGACTGATCCAAAGCCAGGAGCTAGGAGCTTTTTCTGGGTCTCCCACATGAATGCAGGGGCCCAAGCACTTGGGCCATCTTCCACTGCTTTCCCAGGCCATAAGTGGAGAGCTGGATTGGAAGAGGAGCAGCCAGGACATGAACTGGCACCCATATGAAATGCCAGCACTGGCCCCAATGCTAATACTTTTGGTTTCTACAAGCCAGGCTTATGGTTAGGTTTTCCGTATAAATTTTCCATTTTCTAATCTTTTATAGTCAAAAGAAAATGAATATATGTAGTTTATAAAGAATGTGTGTCCCTTTCGATGACTGAATGTTGTTTAAGCAGGTTTTTGTAAAAGATATGTAAAAGGGGTTCCTTGACTTTCCTTGGGAAGCTTGGCCCAGTGGCCTGCCAGCCTGGTCTGACCCCACCCTGGCCTACTCTGGGAGAGGAAACTTGAATAACAGATCCCTGCCTCACTCACCAAGTTGTGAGTTACCAAGTCAGCTGCCAGCCACTTTGTGAAGCCAGAGACAGGCACTTTGGCTCCTGTGGCCAGTGTTGGGAAGGTTTGGAACAGCTCCTTTTTAACCTGGGGTCCTTTGTGCTATGGGATATGGAATCTTCCATAAAATCTGGCCTGGCCTGGGGAACCTATTTCCATGAGCCAAGGACAAGAACAGAGACAAGGCTCCTAGATCTGTGTAGTCATGATTTAAGATTTAGAACATTTCATGGTATCCCTGACACCCAAGGATGTAGGAATCCTGTATAGGGCATACAGAGTGCCTGTCTACAAAATGAAACAGTGTTCTGTAGCTCAGAGGTCCTGAGGCAGGGAAAGCTGCCTTTCTGTAGCCAGTCAGGTTCTGTTCAACTGCATGGTAAATTGCTGCTGTTCTTTCATTCTCACAAGAATTGTATAGCATGTCAGTGTTCCTGTTTTATAGCTGAGTGAACTTAGGTGAAGTGGCTTACCCAAGGTCATACTGCTGCTTAGACAAAGTCAGTATTGTAGTCTGTCTCCAAAGGCCACCCAGACTCTTATCCAGTAGCCTGCTTGTCCATCTGCTCCTGGGACCTGCCTTGCAATACTACTAAGAATCCCTGTGAGCCCGTAAACTCCCTGGCCACACCCTGGTGACCCTACAGAAGATCTGAAATTTCATCTTCCAATGCTCCCTCTACAGCAGGAGCTCTTAACTTTTCTGTGCTATTAACCCTTTGTCTAGTGAAACCTATAGGCATCTTCTCAAAATTTATAAGTATACAAAAATATACATAGGCTTGGAAAGCAATTATTGACAGTTATTAGATTTTCTAAAAGTAGAAGTTATATATATATTTCTTAACATGTTAAGTACTGAGATCTACTTGAAGTCTAATAACTATCATAATTTTAATCATGATGAGTATAAATGATACTTGAAGACATACTTGAAAATGTATGTTTCCACTGATGCCAAATGTACTGGCATTGCTAACACTAATATAGTCTATTGCCTCTGTTCACATGAATGGGCATGCTCTATTTTTGTTGGAGGTGAGGGAAGATAAAGGCAGGCTTTCTCTCCCTACAAAGTGCATGATCCCTAAAGTCTATCCACGGACTCTAACTGTAGAACCTCTGTTCTTTGGTGTGCTCATGCTTAAAAAAGAAGTGCATATGTGTATGCATGTACTCCTGTGTTTTGTGTGTATGCACATGTGTGTGAGCGATGGGGAAGAGAGGGAGAGATTATAACAAGACAGTGGGAATGAGAAGGATGATTAGAAGAGGGCAGCCCAGGAATAGTTTGATATTGAGTCAGTGGTGAAAAGCCTCAACCCAGCTGCTGCAGTGTGGGGCAGAGAGGAAAACAGGCCTTTTAAGTTGCTTCAGGATTAATTTAAAATATCTGTGCAGCACTAAGAGCCTCAGCCTTTGACTTATTTGGTGTTTTTAGAAGAGGTCAGGAGGGTGATAGTCTAGAATAAGGGTTGGTGTGCAGATCCACATCTAAACAAGGGTGTGAGGGAATAGTTGCTGCGTGAGCTGCGTCTCAGCCTCCTTTCTGGGGGGAGGCTTGTCGGCTGAGACCTCTAATTCCAGAACTGGGAAGCTCTTGGCAATCAGGGGAGTCTGGTGATCACTTAGCTTCTATTTTTGTAAAGGGGGTGGGTGCATAATGTCCCCTCCGGTCCTGTGGGGTGGCAGCTTGTTCCCCAGAATTTGAAAAATGAGTTGGTGTTCCCCATTAAGCAGCTGACCTTGGGGAGTGACACCACCTCTCACCACCTTACCCTGACCCCTGTGATGACCCCTGCATTCCCCATCCTGGAGGAGGTGGGAAGGGAGCCATGCTCTCCCTAACTGAACAGCGAGGGATGGGGGACTGTGTTCCACAGGTCATTCATAAAGCAAGTCACCCATTCATTTAATAATGAATGTTGAGTAGCTGTCAGGGGCCCAGATAATCACTTCAATAAAGATGAATAATACAGAAATTCTGCTCCACAGCAGCTTGCCATCTAATAAGGGGTATGCGTAAATGCCTATTTATTTACTGCCTTACTTTTAATTTTTAAAGCGGACATTGAAGTAAAACTGGTACATAATAAATGTCACGTATTTACTGTACACAATCTGATGAGTTTGGACATGGGCATTCATGTGTGAGACCATCACCATGATCAATATAACAGACTTTCCACACCTCCAAATGTGGCCTCATTTCCCTTTGCATAAACTCTTGTTTATTAAATTTCCAATGTGTACCTTGCACCATGCTAGGCACAGCCCCTGTGCTTAGGGAGTTTTCAAGAAGTGAGGACACTGCAACTCAGGAGTGGCAGAGGAGCCTTGATGAGCAATTTCTTTGGTAATTTCTCTGGGTAATTCAGAGGTGATTTCAGTAATCCATGGCCCTGTGCCCTCTGGTCTATAAGTAATAGTCCTGTCCTCTACTGTGTTCACAGAACAGGGGCTGGTCACCCATTGGCTGGGTGCAGATCACAGCTCTCTGCAGCCTTGTTTCATAGTGCCCCCTCCCCAGAAACAATGCATCCTGTGCGACAAAGGTGTCTGCCCTGTAACCATAGCCCTTTACCAAGGAGAAGGGAAGGGCCTCTTCCCCACTGGAGGTCCATGTGTGTTATTGAAGGTCATCAGATAGACACAGCTCATGTGCCTTTGGCAACAGGAAGGGTGAGTGCTGCTCAGTGGAGGATCCTTCCCACAACCCCCTTCTTCCCAGGTGCCTTGAGCACCATCTTCAAATGGTAAAGCTAGAAGGG